GACGGTTCCAGTACTCGCACTGTGGCTGACTTTTCTACTCAATTGTCGGACCAGATGGGCCCTCGGACCGTTCTGACGTGTATACAGAACCCAGCCGAGAGAAATTCGGCACAGCCTGAGGGGAAATCTCCGAAACATAGGAAGGTGGAAGAAGAGAAGGCTGCCGTTGAGGGTGAGGAAGACCCCACGCTTGCTCTAATGCGGTCCATGGGTCTCCCGACGGGATTTGTTGGGGACAAACTAGCCCAGTACGGGGAGGAGGACCAAGACGACTTGTCTGATGGTGACTCTATAGGACAGGGTACTGAATCGGATGAGCCTTGGTAGTGTTTGTACGTGGCTACTACTGTTTCCTACTGTTTCTACTGGGTCGTCTTTGAGTTTGTCAATATAGTAGCGGCGGCGGGTAGGTTTGTTATTGGCTGTTGCGTATGCCGGTGGTAACGCGTCGCCGATCTTATGCTCCCGGCGACGACGTACAGAGACCGTCCCCTTTGGAGGCTGCCTCCCACTGTCCACCACTCAGGAGGCGTTCCACTGGCGGCTCCAGGCATATAGACAAAAAGGACCATCCAGCAGACAACACCCGCGTGCTGCAAGAGAGAAAGTCTCCTGATGCAGCAGATCTCAACGCTTCTTGTCAGCCCATGCAGAACTCAGGAAGTAGTCGTAAACCTTCCGAGGAGCAGCCCAGTAGGGAAGAACGTAGTGGTTGTTCTCCTCGTGTGGAGGTCTCGACTTGTCGGCCCTCAGCAACAACAGCAGCAGTTGAGCCTCCAGCCAATGCAAGCCCTTCAACTACAGCAGCTGAGTACACCCCTAGGAAGTCGCCGTCGACGAGCAGCTCCAGCGAGGCACTCACGCCAGGGACTATACTATTGAGGGAGTACACTAGGCATGTAGTACTGGGTGTGGCCGACGAGACTTGAGTGCTCGTGCTTGGCAGTTCTCATTCAATCCTGGCCTTCTTGATCACTCTACCTATTGGTCCGACTCCAGTTTAGCCAACCTTTGCTTGAAGCTGCGTCTACCGGTAGTAGAACGCGAAGAGAGTGTAGTTGAACTCGCGACAGGCTACTGGCTCGAGAGAAGAGATCATCGGCCGTCTCCGTATGTGGCATGCTACACATAACCCCAACGGGCCCACCCCGGGGGTGCCCTCGTATCGCGCTACTCGTGAGTTGTTCACCGTTCATGCCTCCCGAAGGACTACTCATTCTTCGTCAGGTGGCCACTTCTGCCTTGTCGCTGTCAAGGAAGGTTTAGTCGCGGAAAAGTTCAAGAGTCCCTTTAAACGGAAAGCTGGAAGTGCGTCAAAGCCCATCTTGAAGTTCCTTAGTAGTAGCGCCGTCCGATTTCGGATCCCTCGAGCTCAGGAAAGTATCGTCGTATAGTCCCACGTCATTCGCTACTACTG